ATTCCATAAATTATTTTGTAAAACAAAGGTAATAAATGATCAAACTCGTCACTTTCTGTCATTACAGTTTACTGTTATCTATGCTCTGGAAATTACTTACACCCTATTTAATGGAGAGCTGCTACTCATCGTTTCCCAACTCCTTGTTCAGTCATGTTAGGTTGGTAGTATGAAACCGGCCATGTGGCAGTATTTACATCATTTAAATTGACTAACATTACAAGTTAGGGCTTAATTTATTGTTTTGATTGATTGCATGGAGCAGGGGTTGACAAACTATAGCCTGCAGGCCAAATCCAGCCTATGAGAATGGTTTTTATATATATATACATATTTAAAAACACTTTTGATTCTTTTTTTTTTTTTAGAAAGAGAGAAGAAAGGAGGGAGAAAGTGGGTAGGGGGGGACACTGATTTGTTGTTCCACTTATTTATGCAGTCATTGGTTGATTCTTGTATGTGCTCTGACTGGGGATCAAACCCCCAACCTTGGTTTCTTGAGATGATGCTCTAACCAAGTGAGCTACTTGGCCAGGGTGGTTTTTATATTGTTTGATAGTTGAAAAAAATAAGATTTCATGACAAGTGGAAATTATATGAAAACTGAATGTTAGTGTCCACAATAAAGTTGTATTGAAACACAGCCATGTTCATCAGATTCATTTGTTTACATATTGTCTGAAGCTGCTTTTATGCTACAATAGCAGAGCTAAGTAGTTGCAACAGAGACAGTAGGGCCTGGACAGCCTAAAGTATTTACTAGTATTTGACCCTTTATAAAAGAGTTTATTGACCTTTGATCTAGACTTAAGGAAGTGATAGAGAAAATGTTAATAATGCAGGTTAAATTTAAAAGTTTGTCATGTCTGTAGCCATTACATTGTGAACAACACAAAACCTTGAGGAAGTCCTGGCCAGTGTGGCTCAGTTGGGGCGTTGTCTTGTGCACCAAACAGTTGCCAGTTTGATTCCCGGTCAAGGCACAAAAACAAAACAAAAAACACTTTGAGGAAACATCCTATATAATAAAACCCTAATATGCAAATTGACCGAATAGCAGAATAACCAGTTGCTATGATGCACACTGACCACCAGGGGGCAGACACTTAACACAGGAGCTGCCCTCGGTTGGGGCCAGCAAATGGGTGGTGCCAGGCTGCCAGCCAAGGCAGGTGCCAGCAGGGGCCCCCTGAACGCCCTGCCCACCAGTCACCCCACAGATGGGCCCTGTTTGCTGGCCAGGCCTAGGGACCCTGCCCATGCACGAATTTTGTGCACCGGGCCTCTAGTTCTTTCAATATTTGGAAATTACCATCCAATTCAGCAAAAAGGGTCACACATCACTGGTGAATGAGTGAAATTTCAAAATATGTCTTTGTTCTCTTTTTTCTTTTCTTTAATGTAAACAAAAATGTTGGGACTATCCTAATTAGTCAATGAAATGAATGAATTTCTGTGGAATTGGATAGTAATCAAACATTTGTTCATGGTCTGATTTTTGTCAAATCCTGGATACATTGCAACCACAGGTTGGCTACAAACATAATAATTAGCAAAAATTAAAGAAATCATTTTAAAGAGCAATTGATGCTGTAGAATTACAATAAAGAGCACAGATATCTTAGTATTTATAAATACATGTTTAGTATTTGTAAATTGTGTATTTATTTTCCAGCTTTATCATCAGTAAAATTTATAATCAACTTATGTATATAAACGCATACCTTTTTTCCAGAGACCTCGTTGTTAAGCATTTACCAGCACACCATGGACAGACCGTTCCAGGCAGAGAGCATCCAGGGGAGTCCAGGTGTTTAAGGCTTAGTGAGTGGCGAGGTGTTGAGGCTGGAGTGCTGGGACGGATGTGAGGGCATTATGAGCAGGGATAGGGGTCCAGACACCATCCTGAGGGCCATGGGGAGCCACAGAAGGATTCTGAGTATTGAAGAGACCCCATGAGATCTGTGTTTAGAAGACCATGTTGAAGATTGGGTTGTTAGGGACAGATTATAAAATACCAAATTAGTGGAGGGAGGGAAAGTAATAGTGGCAAACTCTTAAGAGAATTTACTATAGGCCAAGCCCACTCCTAAGCCCTTCGCGTGTGTTATTAGTTCATTTAATATTCACAACAATTTCATGCGGTAGATAAATATTCTTATCTCCTTTTTACAGATGAGGAAACTGAGGCACAAATAAATTAAGTAACAGGTAAGCAGAAGAACTGGAGTTTGAACCCAAGCCTGGCTTCAGAGGCCACACTCTTAACCACTATATGTTATGTTTTTAGACTAGAAAAATGTTGAGATTTGGAGTGGTGTTTTCTTTTCTTTTTTTAAAATATATTTTTATTGATTTCAGAGAGGAATGGTGGGGGGAGGGAGGGAGGGAGGAAGAAACATCAATGATGAGAGAGAATCATTGATCGGCTGCCTCCCGCACGCTCCTTGGGATCGAGTCTGCAACCCCGGCATGTGCCCTGACCAGGAATCGAACTGTGACCTCCTGGTTCATAGGTCGACACTCAGCCATTGAGCCATGCTGGCCGGGCTGGAGTGATGTTTCTTAATTTTAATGCATGTACAAAGTTGACCCTGTATAGACAGATATGTCTGGCATCTAGTAGGAGCTTGCGGGCATTCTTCAGACCCAGCAGGACTTGACTCAGTGATAATGGGATATGAGGAGCCAGGGGAGGGTTTCACCAGCTTCCTTCATCTGCTGGATGACATACTCACTGACCACACTGGCCTCCTGTTTCTCTGTCTATGTTTGTAGACTGTCTCTCTGTCCTCAGGGAGGTCCCAGTCTTGGGGACAAAATCCTGAGCAGGAATACAGGTGGGAGAGGACAAGAGGGGACAAAGTCTGTCCCCTGGGTCCAGAGTGAGTGTTTTTTTTTTTGTGTTTTTTTTTTAATCCTGAGGATATGTTCATTGATTTTAGAAAGGGAGAGGGTGAGGGAGAGAGAGAGAGAGAGAGATGGAGAGAGAGGGAGATATATCTAAACATCAATGTGAGAAACATTGATCTGTTGCCTCCTGCATGCACCCTGACCCAGGATCAAACCCTCAACCTTTTGGTGTACGGGCCATGCTCCAACCAACTGAGCTACCTGGACAGAACCAGAGTGGGGCTCATGACTCAAGTGTATGTGAGCTAAGAGGGGTGAGAGGTGTGAATTATCTATTGACAGGAAGGGCTTCCATAAAGGAGGCCATAGATAGGAGGCATGGGGTATAGGGGAGAAGAGAGAGGATGGGTGGTTCTGCCACCCTGGTTTCCTCCTACGGCATCTATATCTACATCAAAAGTTTGATGGTAGCCCTAAAGGTATAGTGACAGATGACAGCTCAGCTGCAGAAATATAAATATGAATATAACTATACCTATGAATAGGAAAGGAATAGAGGTGCCTTTCTGTCATGAGTCCTGGCTGAGAGTGTGGGCAGGAGGTAATAAGGGTGGAAGTGGAGGGTTGGGGTGCTGGAGGCTGGTGGCAGGGCCGACCCCACGCGGGGTGTTGGTCCCCTGAGGCCACATCTGTCAGCTTGGGACTTGCCATCCTGCTGGCTCAGCAGGTCCCTCGGATTAGCAGGTGACTCATCCCTCACCCTCATAAGGCCTGTTTCAGGAAGGGGCAGAGGGTGTGTGGAATGGAGCACCTGTGTGTTCCTCTCTATGGGATCTCTGCTGTGTTACACGCCCGAGTCTGAGATGTGTGCCCATGTTGGAACTGTGCAGATGGGCCAGGAAGACCCTGTGCACGTAGGCCGTGTGGGCTGTGCAAAGATGTGGGCCGTAGGTGTGGAAGGCGTGTACGGTATGAGGTGGACGGGGTCTGGGGAACACGCAGCTCTTCCCTGAGCAAGGCGCTCGTGTGCAGGTGTTTCCCTGAGAGAGGGAAGCAGCTCTGGAGTCTGCTGAGCCCAGAGGAGGCGGCCTGGGTGGGAGGCAGGTGAGGAGGGCTCCTGATGACAGCTCATCCTCTTCAAGGAGGGCTTGGCTGGACCAGCTGGCAGAGCCGGGCACTCTAAGCCCATGTGATGGCAGTGGTTTCTCCAAGCTTCTCCCTTAAGCCCTGGGCTGTAGGCCAGGGTGGCTCCCTCATCCTAACCCTGAAAGGGCATGCACACTCCCCAGGCCACACAGGTAGGTCAGGAGCAGTGAGTGAGTGTGGCAGGTGGGCATCGAGCCCGAGCTTTCTCTTACCCTCTCTCAGGCCGGAAGGACATAAGGTCCAGGAGGTGTCTCGTCTCCTGGGATATGAGGACAGCACATCAGCCCCTGGTTGCCATGCCCCTGCTTTGTGTGCACTCTGCGCTGGCATGAGGAGCGCATGCACGCCCATGTCTGTGTGTGCTGGCCCCTGCCACGGCGCCTGGGGCCGCCTTCCCATCATGTTCCATGATCTGAGAGATGCTTGAAGTGGAGCAGAGAGCTTGCGCTGGGAGCCAGGAAGCCTGGATTCTACTCCAAGATTTCACTTAGTGACTTTGGAGATGTTCCTTGGTCCTGGGGCTTCAGATGGGGAATGGCGGCGTTCCCTGAGTTGTTCAGTTGAAGGACTAGGGGTTGAAAGCAGGTAACAATCTCCAGAGAACTTGCACTCTGACCTACAAGGGGTGTTCAAATCTCCTAGAAAAGTGAGGCATTTAGAGTTCTGGGGCTGAGCTTCAAAACAAATTAACGTTACAGGCCAAGACCTGCCCGAGGTGAGGCTGGGAAAGTCTGCCCACCCATCCCTGCCCCCTCCCAACACTGATGGCCTGCAAGTGGGGGGGGGGAATAGCAGTGTCCCCCAGACTGAGGTTGGGAACCAGCTCATAGCTCTCCCAGTCTCTCTCTCACCCCCCCACCCCCCGCAGCCCTTATGCCCACCCCCTGCCAGTCCCACCCACCCCCAGCTTGCTCTCTCTCAGGCTCACACTTCTCCAAGTTCCGAGTTTTCAACCCCAGGCTGTATAGGCTTAGTCAGAGTAAACAGACAGCACCAAAGTCAACAAAACAAGAAAGGAAGCAGCACAAGTGACGTGGAAAAGAAAACTTGGAAACCACAATGAAGGTGTGTGGACTGGGCTGGTGTCTCCCCTCAGAGCAGGACCCAGGGGCTAAGGCTAATCCTGCCAGTCCCTTGAGTGGAGTCGGAGGAAGGGACTCGTGGCCAAAGGAGTCAGGTTAGACCGCCAACAGGGGGCGCTAGTGCCCAGTCCAACGAGTGCTGTTAAAAAGGATGTGATTGCGAGGGTATTTCAACTCCCCCATCCCACCCGACTGAAGACCTAGGCTGGGTTGCCTCAGCTGCTTCGGGAAGCAAGTGAGAAGCTAACTGGGGCCAGGGCTGTGTAGGAGCAGTCAGGGCAGGAGCAAACAGGCTGGAACAAGAGCAGGAGGGAGGAGCCCCCGCTCTCTGCCCCACCCGGCTGTTCGCTCCAGGGCTCAGGGTCTTGGAGCCGTGAGTGCAGAAACCCCACTCCATCCCACCCACATGCATAGTCGCCCGCCCTGACAACCTACCTGTCTCCCGCTCAGGGCAGGGGCCGCGCATGCAGTTATTGTGCCTGTGCTATTTGTTCACGAGGCGCCATACAGGCCAGGCCATCCCCAGGAGGCTGCCTGCCCAAGGCCCTGTCACACCCATCGAGTCCCCCAGCCACCGGGTGAGCTTGTTGACTGAGCGGGTGATGGCAGGTGGCTATGCTCACCCCCAGACCCGAGGAGGCGACCAGGGTATCAAGACCCGAGAGCTGAGTGACCCGTCTGCAACGGGAAGAGCTGGGAGACCAGACACACCCAGCTGGAGCGGCTTGAGATCTGGGTGGAAGTCCGCGGGCTTTGGTCGTGCTGTCTGTGGAAAGAGAGAGGGATATTCCACACCCCCCCTTCCAGCCCTTCTACCTGGCCCTGGTGTCAGGCAAGAGTCAGTCAGGGCAAGAGTGGTTGGGTGTAGGGTTCCCTTCCTCAGGCATCGTCTCTACCACACAGAGTTTACTCTCCACCGGGCACTTGCCACACCCCTTACCACTCAGTCCGTTCTCCCAACAGCCCTGAGAGGTCAGGATTAGTATCTCCATCTTACAGATGAAGACACCCAGTTAAATATCTTGCTCAAAGTTACCCAAGCCAATTAAGAGGCTGAACTGGATTCAAGTTCAGATTGCCTGGCTCTAAAGTCTGAACTGTGAACCACACAGCTCGCCACCTGGATGGGGGAGCGCCCCTGCCCCAGCCAAACTTCAAACCAGCCCCGGACTCAGGCTCCTGGCCAGGAGGTCCCTGGGCTTCCCATTGCTCCTTCCGCCAGCACTTCACTCTTTCCATCTTCTCGTGAGGCATCCCTGACCCTGACTCCCCTCTTCACTCTGACTAATCCGGTACCAGAGACTCCATTACTATTAGCCCTTTCTTCTCTGTGGGTTAAGAGATTGCTGTTCAGAGCTTCTCCTTTGAAATTCTTTAGTGCGGAAGAATTTTGAAATTGATTACGGCAAAAATCAAAGGATGAAACTGGAAGGTGAAGAGCTGATGGGGAACCTTGACAATGGGAGGATCAGGCTGCCGCCCTGTGAGCCCACGGATTGGCCAGCATCACTAAACACGGGGCAGCTAGACACTATGTGCCTCTGAATGGGATGCAAGAGGAAGCACACAGCACTATTCACAAAGGATTCCTCCCATCCCCCACCAAGAGAACCTAACTAAAATCACACTATTAGCGCTAACTTCCTGTACATTCTGAGAAATAGAGGAGCTGGAGGAAAAGTTAAATGACACCACAAGGAAGCAAACAGGCCAGTCTAGAAAATGGACTTCCTCTAGAACCACATTTATTCAACAAGCCAGTGACATGAATAAGAGGGAGAAAGCGTTTGAGAGCATTTAACCCAAGTAATGTGTGATTTTGTTGGGATCCTGGCTCAAGCAAACTAACAAATTAATTAAAAAATATATTTTGAAACAATTGTGGGTACTTGATATTTCCATGGAATTGTTCATTTTTGTTAGGTGTGAATGGCATTGTGATTATGCAAGAAAATGTTCATTTTAGAGATGGATATTGAAGAATGTAGAAGTGAAATGACAGAATGGCTGGAATTTGTTTTTAAGCACTTCATAAAAAAAGAAAAAAGGTTGATGAAACCAGAGTGGAACAGGTTTGGGAGACGTTTAGATGAGGTTGGGTTGGAGCAGGTGAAGGCAGATATGCCCATTAGGCATATGAGAAAGAGAACGAGAGAGGCTGCTGGGTCTGGAGCAGTGGGGTGAGACCTGGACCGGCAGTAAGACTGGGGAGATGGCAGCATTTGTGCGGTCGGAAAGGACATCGGGGATGTGCAGGGCCGACTTCTCCAGGCACAGTGCCCACGAAGATTTCTATTTAAAAGCCCCACAAAAATGTTTTGTTTTAAAATAAGAAAAAAATGAACTTGTAGGTTGAAAAAATGTTTTAATACACAATATTAATTTATTCATCTTTATATCAACACAGTTGTGCAATATAATTTTTTTGAATTTTTAAAAATTTTAGAGAAAGAGGAAAGTAAAGAGAGGGAGAGAAACATTGATGTGTTGTCCTACTCATTGGTTGATTTTTGTATGTGCCCTGACTGGAGATCAAACCCACAACCTTGGTGTATCAGGATGCTGCTCTAACCAACTGAGCTACCTGGTCAGGGCATAAAATATTAGGTTTACTTAGTCTTTTAAAGGAGGAGGCCGCCCACAAAGCGAAAGTGGCATGGGCTATGAAAGTCAGAAGTGGCCCTAGGGTAGGGAGAAAGCTGCCCAGACATGGAGCCTGAGGGAGGCAGGAAGCCTCTAAGCCTGTACTGTGGGGAGCAACTAGGGGTGGAGGTGGGGGGGCAGGAGATGTGTGTCGTGGTCCACCCTCTAGGCTCCATCCTTGTCTCTCCTATACAAAGACGTATTAGGGCATCTCAAGCTGGGCTAGGAGCTAGGACATCTGGTTTGACTCTCCCTGGATCTTGGGCTGTGCCCAGAGCAGAAGAGACTGTGTCTGTCTGCCTACCCAGTCTGATGCAGCCTGCATCCCAAGGACCGGTGGGAGTGTGGGAGGACTCCCATTGATACTGGGAGAGGCCCAGGGACCAGGAGGCTATACCCAGGAGGCTATGCGCAGGTCCCCGTGTTTCACTAAGCCTCCCTAGCTGAGGCTCAGTGCCTGTAGGTGCTCGTGCCCCAGTCCCTGCCCACACAGACCTCTCGGCACAGGCCCTTAGTGTCATCACTGTGTTCTTGAAAAGCTGTAAATAAAACCCCACAGGATGGCCTGCTCCTCTGCTGAAGGGGGACACCCTGTGATCATTTCCTCTAGGGCTCTACGCCGTTCATCCTCAGTGGGACATCTGTGTTTGGAGAGGCCTTGGGATTAGGGCAAAAATAAGGGAGTGAAGAGGTATCTCAGGGAGCCTCTGGCCTTGTCTATTTTGAGGGAAGAAGGGAGGCTTCTCCACTTGGGGAGCCCCCAGTGTGAGTGGGGAGGCTGGGCAATAGCATCACCCTGGGGCTTCCCGGCCACTGGGCCTGCCTACTTTCTCAGGCTGAGCAGGAGAGTAGAGAGAGAGTAGCTTGCCCTGGGGTTGCTGAGATGGGCTTTCTGCCCACCCCAGACCCCCCTGTTCTAGGCCCGAAGCACCTGACCAGATCAGATAGGGCACGTTCCTGCAGTGAGCTGCCCACTGACTGGGACTGTGCTGACGCAGGCAGGAAAATATTAACCCAGTGGAATGGGCTCATACTCTTGTGTGCACCACTGCGTGTGTGTGTGTGTGTGTGTGTGTGTGTATTTGTGTGTGTGTGAGAGAGAGAGTGAGAACACAGAAAGTACTTTTCACATGCACGACCAGATAGAGATATGCACATGCACACACACATCCGCCCATTCACACACATGCTCACACACAGACATATACAAAGATACACATGCTTTTTATACATGCCTATTCCTTCACTATCATCTCCCAACTTTGTCAATGAGACTCCCTCCTCCAGGAAGCCTTCCCTGATAGCTCCAGCTCATACTAGAAAGTGACAGGCCTGGACTCTATGCCTGGTTCCTGATGCCACATTAGGCAGTCTGACATTAGCTTTAGAGTGGAGCAGGCCTGGGTTTGAATTCTGGTTCTTTGACTCACAGGACGTGTGCCCTTTGGCAAGTGGCTGTGCCTCCCGACCTCGTCTGCTCTAGTCTTTGTCCACATTGTCCTGGAGGTCCAGGCATGACTGAGAAGGAAGGATAAGAGCCGGGGCTGGGGGTATGGTTATTGCAATGTCAGGGTTAAAGACCATCCTGGGTCCTGCCTGTGCTGTCCTCCCTCAACCCTGCCCCGGACTAGCCCCGCAGCCCCCAGTTCTCCTACTAGGGCAGGGGCAGAATCTGATCTAGACGTTCTGGCTCTGGGTGATCTTGGGCAAGTTGTTACCTTGCTCTGAATCTCAATTTTCTACCTAAAAAATGAGTTTGAAAGGGAACACTTACCTAGGTGAGGCTTAAGGATGTTTTCTTTTTTGAGAAAAATGAGAATCTCACAACTTCACCCAGGTGATGTGGCTCGGTGGTTGAGTGTCGATTCCCAGTCAGGGCACATGCCGGGTTGCTGGCTTGATCCCCAGTAGGCAGCTGACCAATGATTCTCTCTCATCATTGATGTTTCTATCTTTCTCTCCCTCTCCCTTCTTCTCTGAAATCAATAAAAATATATATTAGAGAGAGATAAAGATAGATAGATAGAGAGAGAATCTCACAACTTCAAGTGATTTCACCTGGAAGGACCTGTACTGTGCTCCCACCCCCAGGCCTGCTCCTGCAGTCAGAGCAGCTCCTTTCCTACTGATTGATGCGATGGACTCCTCAGGTATACAAAGGATCCCAAGGCTCTAAAGCAGCGGTTCTCAACCTGTGGGTCGCGACTCCTTTGGCAGTCGAACGACCCTTTCACAGGGGTCGCCTAAGACCATCCTGCATATCAGATATTTACATCACGGTTCATAACAGTAGCAACATTACAGTTATGAAGCAGCAACAAAAATAATTTTATGGTTGGGTCACAACATGAGGAACTGTATTTAAAGGGCCAGAAGGTTGAGAACCACTGCTAAGTCTAAGACAATTTGATTGCAAGTAGTTTACATGATAAGTAAGTTAATCAAGTGGCATGTTGGTTGAAACAAATAATCAGCTAAAATGATTAGCTTTTTACACATCAACACTTTTGGGGGCATTTTGGAGAAGATCAGAGAATTTTTGGCATCTTTGGGTGTTTTCCTTCACTCTCATTTAAAAAAATTTCTATTTGCATGTTCACTCCTTATTGGGTTTCAACCACTTGTGTCTGTCCCATGCTGTTCATGAGAGAGAAGAGTTGGACACATTTAAAATTCTGTGCTGTACAGCCACTTGCATGATGTGGATGTGGGCCTATTGGCATGAAAAGCTATTCTGAATAAATGTTTTGAGTGAAAAAAGTACTGTACAAGAACTTTATATAGGTTTTATTCTTTTATTATTTTAGATAATAAACAATAAAAGAATCTGAGATTTTCAAATTTGTTTTCTATTTTTAAAAAATTTCCACTCCAATGATAGACAATTATATCTGCTCCACTTGCTTGGCTATGTGTTCATAAATATTTAAATTTTCAGTTAGGTTGAACATGAATGTCACCACTCACCAGTTCACATTGTAAGATTTTTGGTGCATGGGGTTATTTCCAACCTTTTGCTAGTAAAAATAGTGTATTGCAGACAAAATTAGAACAAGAAAACTAAACAATTTCTGAAAGAGGGACTAAATGCCTAAAGAAATATCTAAGTTTGCAAAGTTTGCAAAAATTGCCCCCTAGCGTACTCATTTTACCAATTCATTTTCAACCAAATTAGTTTTTGACTTGATGGGCTGTTGTTACCTTCATAAACCTTTTCCTGGGGCCTGTCTGGATGCCAGAAGTGACTGGGTGGTAGACCACATATCTGCCGACCCCATCTCGCAGATGAGGAAGCAGAGGCCTAGGGCAGGGACTGCGCCAAGGTTGTGCAGAGAATTTGATACCCAGTGAGGACTTACACCTGGGGGCACGGGGGTGGGCGCGGGTGTGTGTGTGTCAGTCTTCACTGCAGTTCAGAGCCAGTTAAAATTTGAATTTCAGAGAAACAATGGATCGTGTTTTAGTATAGGTATGTTACAGGTATTGCAAATATTGTTCCTTTGAAATTCAAATTTAGCTGAACATCTTATATTTTATCTAGTGGCCCTACTGAGAGTTTACCCTGTGCAGATAGGACCCCGGGTGTCCCCTCTCTGCTCTTCATCATCCCCACTGGCCCTGGAGATCCTCCCGGGCTCTGTATAGACCCACCTCTGACCCAAACACCCAACCTTGCAGCCCCTTTAGCTGCCTCTCTTCTCTCCACAGTTGATCTTTCTGTCTCCTTAGCCACCACATCTTCACTGTTGTGGCCACTCTCCATCCCACCAGCTCATGGGCTGGTCTCTTCTCACACCCAACTCTGGGGCCACAGCCCCTTCGAACTCCTGGCAGCCTGTTGGCAGCCCAGTGTATGGGCGTCTCTCTCCTCCTCACCTGCTCCTTCTCAGTCACCCACGTATCCCCAGAAGCCTGCCCCTGTCTCTTGCCCCGTTACTTCCCGCTTCCTGGCAATCCCATTGACTCTCATGGTGAAGGCCCAGGCGCTGATATCTCCTGTTCTCTTTCTCCAGCTGGAACCCTCTCCCAAGCTCAGGCCTACTGGGTGCTCCAGGGCCTCAAGGACCCTAGGTTGGCTACTTTGCTCTTCTCTTTGCTTAGAACCCCTCGATGGCTCCTCAGGCCCTTGGGATAAAGTCTGATCCTGTGTCCTGGCAGACAAAGTCCTTCATGGTCTGCCCCTGCTCACTTCTCCGGCCCTCCCTCTGAAAGCCACTCACAGTTCCCAGGTTTTCTCACAATCCCATTGGGCTTCAAATCATCGTCCTCCTCCCACCCTCCCCCGCTCACCTTGGTGGACTCAGCGCCCATGTCATCTCTTCTGGAAAAATCTTACCTCCCTCCAAGCTGGCTGAGCTGCTGCCCGTATTCCCTCCATCTTATCACAGTGTATCCTAAATCACCTGCCATTTATCTTATCTCTCCCAAGAGACAAACGGGACTATGTCTTCTCCATCTCTAGTCCCCAGCACCCGGCCCAGTAAGTGAGCTTAACCACTGACTTCAACATGGATTTCACCTTCCTCCTTCATCAGCCTGATACCAGCCTAATCCAACTTTGCCCAAGCTCTGACCTCATCCTAGACCTCAGCTCCACTGACCCTTACCTCACCCTCATCCCAAAAGCACACACAAGAAAGGATTAAAGGCAGGTGTCCCCCATGTCCAGGGTACATCCTCCTGTCCCAGGAAGGACAGCATCCTGAGCCCACTTGAGTCTGCAGAGGTGAGGGGCGGAGCCTCAGAGTGTGTGTGTGTATGTGTGTGTGTGTGGGGGGGGGGGGGGTCGGGGGGAGGCAATGAAAAAGTTCATTCCTAAGGATGACTTCTGATTCAGACGGCAGCTGACCCCTGCCTCTCCCTGAAGCATGACCTGCAGGACAAGTTGGGATGGAGACCTGGGCAGCCCAGGTTCCAGACCTGGCCTGGTCTACTGGCCCCCTCTAGAGGACAGTTCTATTCCAGCTCTTACACTGCCTCCCCACAGGGAGTTCCCTGGACTTACTGTCTCCCACCTACCAGTCCACTTCACGGGTCTCCTTACAATTTGCAGACCAGCAACCACGCCCTTTTGTCTCAGCACTGGGTCACCTGTTTAAATCCCGAATTGCCTCATCCTTGGAGGCCCAGCTATGCCCCAGCTCCACAAGTCCTCTCAGAAGGCAGTGGGTCCCCGGCTGGCGTCTGACCCCACCTTAGTCACTGAGCTCCTGCAGCCCTGGGTCGGAGCCCCATACTTTGGTCAGCTTTGGTTCCTCCACAGGGGCCTCACTTGCTATCCCCAAGGGAAGTGTTTTCGAGCACAGGGCCTAGGTGTCCCACCCCTGCTTAGATGGGGGCTCCCAGAGGCTGAGACCCAGGCTTCTTCTCTCCCACTCCAGATTAGGGACCCCCAGAGGACCGGGCTTGGCTTTCTTCCTCCCCTCTCAGACTGGGGTTTTCCTGCAAATATGGCTCATGTGTCCTCCTGCCCTTCAGACTGGGTAAGTCCAGGGCCTGAGTCTCCCCTTCCTCCTTCAGACTAGGGGCTCCCTGAGGACTGACCCAGGGTCTCCCCCGAACCTCTCCACCTGGTTGTTGATCTCCAGAACATTCCAATCCACATTCTGCACTGCTCTCCCCACAGCCAGACATGCAGGAGCCTCTGGAGCCTCCCCTGGGCCTGGGGCCTGGGAGGGCTTCCCCTGGGTCTGGGCTGGACACTTGGCTTGGAGGACAGGTCCTTCCTCTGGGACCGTGAGGCCCAGCGCCCACCCTGAGCTCCATCTCTGACCTCACAAGGGCTGTCTCAGAACGTGGTTTCCATGGCACTGCTGGCAGGAGAAGTGATGCTATTCTGGGCAGTTCATCTGGACTTGGCTCAAGTGGTACGGGCCAAACCCCTGCTCCACTGACCTCTCCTCTGGAGGAGAAGAGCAGAGCAGAGCAGCACTTGGAGCCACCCCAGGAGGGCTGAGGGGCGGGCCCTAGACCGGGGACACAAGGACAACAGAGCCCCAGCTGCGGGAGCAGCCAGAGCTTGGGACAGTCATGGAGAAACAAGACTGAGACCTGCTGTAACTGAGAAGGCCCCAAAGTGGACGCTGAGAAAGAAGGCATTTCAGCAGAGTGAGTCTGACTCTAGGGCAGGGCTGGGACAAGTGGGCCTCCTCTGGGACCCAGGCCTGTGAATGTCATTCCCTGGGAACCATATGGGGAAGAGGTGACCATGTGACCATCAGGGGAAGAAACCCCAGTTGGGAGGTGAAAGCCTGGTTGTCTGTTCTGGTTTAGTCCTGAGTTGCTGCATGACACTCTCTCTGGGCTTGTTTCCTTACCTGTAAATTGAATGCTGGGAGGATCAGTGGTGGAGCAGATTGGGAGGATGTGTGGCGCTGGGCTGTCAGCAGGGTGAGGGGGTGGGGCCAGGAGAGAGTGGAGACCAGCGACATTGGATTGAAGCAGGAGGGATGAGGATCAGAGAGATGGGTTATTGCTGGCGTTGCTGGAGTGGTCTCTCCCCCTTGAGAGGCGGGGGCTGGGGCTAAAGGGGTTCTGCAATCAGGCTAGGGTGGTGACTGCTGCAGCGAGAGGGAATTGGGCTAGAGAACAAGGGGGATGGGGAAACTCAAGAGTTATATTCGTGCTGCCATTTCCAAGGAAAATGGGAATATAAGGAATTTCCAGGAATGGTGAGAAGGATAAACCTTGCTCTGAGGGGGGTATGGACTAAATGAATTTTTAGAAGCTCATCCTGTGTGCATATGTGTGTGTAAGGAAGAGGCCCTGGAAAGCCACAGTTGAAGTCAGCAGCCAGAGGGCTTGAGGTTAGACTCAAGGCAATAATAGCCGCACGTGTGAGGGTGGAGCCACTGAGGGGAGTCTGTGGTCATCCCCACTGTCCAAAGTGTGTGTCAGACCTGGGAAGGTCAGAGGAGCTCTGAAGGGCCTGGTCCAGAGGTTAGGGTCCTGAGGACAGCATGGGTAGAGGGGGTAGGACTCTAGGACCTCTTCCCATTGGCTGAAGCACATCCAACCGCATGCCTACTCCCTGCCAGGTTGGCTGGGTTGAGGGGTTGGAACCAGTAGTAACTGGTCCTGTGGCTTCTCCTGGAGGCTGAGGTCTGATGACAATGTGGGGCCAAGTTCTGCACCCCCAAGCCCTAGTGACCTCTCTCTGCTTCCACAGTATCTAAATATCTCTGCCAGAATGACTCAAGCAGACAAGAAGAAGCGGTAAGCACTCACGCATTCCCCTATACCAGCCCCCCATCTCCCACCCCCAGTGCACCCAGTGCCCTCTCTGTCCCACTCTAAGCCTCTCCCTCATGCCAGCTGATGCCCTCAGTAGCTCATGGAGCCCAGAGAAAGGGCCTCTCCCACCTGTGCCTATAGCGAAGCACAGGCTGGGCCCTGGAGTGAAGGGAAGCTCAGAAGGACCTGGGTAAGGGTCAAGGGGTTGGTCAGTGGTGGTGCTCAACTGAACTAAACTCACTACCTCTCACCCTCTCAGGCTCAGGTTCCTTTGGGGTGAAATAGAGGCCAAAGTCCTTGCAATGGCCAAGGGCCTACCTCCCTAGTCTGTTTCCTCTCTGACCTCCCCTACCCCAGCCCAACTCTGCCCACTCCAGCCACACTGGAGCTTCCTTACCTCAGTCTTTCAGACTGTTCCTTTGCCTGAATTACTCTTCCCATAGTTACCTGTGTCTTTGCTCAAATGCCACATCTTATTTATTTATTTATTTATTTAGAGAGAGGAGATTGATTTGTTGTGCCACTTATTTATTCATTCATTGGTTGATTCTTGTTTGTGCCCTGACTGGGGATCAAACCTGCAATCTTGGTGTATCAGGATGATGCTCTAACTCAGAGGTAGGGAACCTCCAGCCCTTGAGCCATATAAGGCCTGCGAAATCATTTGGTCTGGCCCTGCCAAGGCATTAGGGGTGAGTTAAATGACCAAATACAGCAGGCTAATTTTTTTTTTTTAGGCTAATTTTTAAGTTGATAATTTTGCATGGCTCATGGATGATGTTATAAATATTCAAATGGCCCTTGGCAGAAAAAAGGTTCCCTGCTCCTGCATCTAACTGAACTACCTGGCCAGGGCTCAAATGCCACATTCTCAATGCGGTTCACTCTGACTGCTCTATTTAAAATCACACCCCACCCCCCTTTTCCTCGCTCTATCTTTCCCCGTAGGACATACTTCCTGCTCTATCCACCTCTCCTCTGCCTCTGTGGCACCTTCCCAGGACTGTTCTTGGGCCCCTGACTGCCTCAGGCTGCTCATAGGCTCTTCTTCGGGGCTAAGGAGGCCAGTCATGGGGGCAAGGTGACCATACATGGTGATGCGTGGGAGCTGGAGTTGGATGGGAGCCAATGGATCACCCAGGCAACTCTATACCCCTCCAATGCGCAGCCCTGGGTTTGTTTTCCTGGGATAAGGACAGAGCAAGGACTGAGGTGGGTGAGCAATGAACATGGGGGCCCCACCAGAAAATTAAAAGGTGGTGTGTCCATGCCTGGTTCACATTTCTCACTCCCTCTGCTTACTCTTTGCTGCTGTGCAGCTGGGGAAATTTAGGAAGCCTGGGGCGGTGGGGGGTGATGTTGCTATCCCAAGCAGAGCAAGGTAGTAAGTGCCGAGTGTCGGCTTCAGGCAATCAACGGGGAGGGTCACCAGTCTTAACACGCACCAAAGGCCACACTTAGAGTTATCTCCACCCCTCTTTCTCCTCTTTAGCCTCTGCACCCCATCTCCTCCAAACTCAAGCTCTATCCCACCCCACCCCCAACAGACGATAGAGCCTATAACTCACTTTTTCCTCTATCCATCCAATCATGAGTTTATTAAATAAATATTTATCAAGCATCTACCATGGGCCAGGCACTGCAGAAAGTTCTGGGGATCGAATGGAAAGACAGATGAATTCCCCAGTTTTTATTCATCTCACTATAGATATTGGAACACCTATGTGTCTGGCACTGTGCTAGGCACTGAGAATACACCAAGGAGTAAGATCCTCCTTTCCTCTCGCCCTTTCTCTCATTTGTTCACTCACTCACTCACTCACTCAACATCTGTTGTGTTGACCTGGTTTTGAGTGGGTGCACTTTGCAAACCCCCTCATCTTTGGCAGAACCTGGTGCACATTTCAGGCCCGAGTGCTGTTTATAGAGCCTGGGAGCAGACTTTGTCTCACCCTGTGCTGTGTGCAGAATGCCTTTCGGTTGTCAGTCCTGCCTGATGTCTTGCCTGTGTCCTCAGGTATCTGGTTCCTACAGGCAGGCAGGCAGATAGACAGACAACTGAGTTCCACCTTCCTCCCTGCTCTCTCCCACTTGCTTCTCGCCCGGGGCTCCTTGGCACCACAGATTGCATCAATCAGATCCCCAACTGCCCCTCTGCCAAGTGGCCTTGTTGGTGTGGTCTTCCCACTGGTACAGTCCCTACCAGAAAGAATAAGAGGCGTGACCCGATTATCTACCCCCAGCTCCGCTCCATGTCCCTGTGACACTCAGGTGTCTTTGATCCCAGCTGTCTCAGCAGCCCAGAGCAACAGGAGGTGTGTGTGTGTGTGGACAGTCCATTGGGTTACCCATTAACTCAGCCATGAGTTAATGGGCTGATGGGTAGGTAGCAGGTGTACTTGACTCTCACTTCTGCTTATGAGTTTGGGCTGCTGCTTCAGGTCCACCCGCAAGGTCAAGATGATCCCGTCGCCCGTGGTAATAAGGGTGCAAGCAATACTGCAGAAGGAGATGGTGCGAGAGTTCCTGGCCGAGCTCATGAGCACATTTGTCATGATGGTGAGTATCATGATGGGGTTCTGAGGAAGGGGCACGAACCCAAGACTTCACGAGGCTGGGGCTCAGTGAGGGCAATCCATGACCCCTCCCATTGCTGGCCTCCTGGGTCACATTGCCCATTCCCGTTTCTGATCTGGGAGCCTGAGGGGGAAGCATAGGAAAGTAAGGAGAGAGCTCTGCCTTTATCACCATCTTTTTGGGAGAGAAAGGGCTCATTCTCTGTGGAGGCAGAACAAAATTATGGGCTGGGGAGTGTCAGGGGGCATGACTGGAGGTGGGGAGAAGGGACACCAAGAGGAAAGAGATTGGAGAGAATGCTGAGTGTCAGGTTTTTTCTTTTTTGTTAATACTCACCCGAGGATATTTTTCCCCATTGATTTTTAGAGAGAGTAGGAGGGAGGGAGGAGGGGGGAGAGAGAGAGAGAGAAACATCGATGTGAGTTATGTGTCCTTAACCAGGAATTGAACCTGCGACCCTTTAGCGTGCAGGCCAATGCTCTAACCACTGAGCGCACAGGCCAAGGCAAGTGTCAGGTTTTGAGAATTAATACTGAGGGCAAAGGGGAGACACTGAAGGTCTTCAAGCAGGGGAATGATGTGGTCAGATTTGGATTTTTAGAAGGAAATTCTGGGGGTAGTGTGGAGTCTCAACAGAATGGGCAAGGCAGAGTGAAGTGAGGGGAACCAGTTAAGAGACTGTTGCAAAGACCTAGGATAAAGAATGGCGAATGGTCCAGGGATAGAGAAGAAAGCACATGTTTGAGGCAGTTGTAGAAGGTGGAATTGAGGAGGTTTCTTAAGCCATAGATGTGGGGTAAGTGCCAAGGTGGCCATTCTGAGCCCTGGGCCCAGCACAGCGCGAGAGGTAAAGTCAGTTTGGACAAGATCAGGTGAGGTGCCTGGGAAGAAATCTAGGAGGTGGTTGGTTATAGAGGCCTGGAGCTCATGACAGAAGCTTGGGCTGGACGTATGGAGTTAGAGTTCATCAGAGTATGGGTGGTGGTTAAAAAACTGTTCAGTGAGAGTGTATATGAAGAGGCAGTACGCTGAGGAGAGAGAATGAAGAATGGCAAAGGGGCCTGGGAAGTATCGGCCAGAGAGCTGGAAGGAGAAAGTGGGCGGTGACTGGTGACAGGAGTGTGGGGGGCCCACAGGAGGGAGTGGTCAGCAGAGAAGGTGAGAACTGACCAGGGTCCATGCGGTTTGACAACATGGAAGTCACTGGGGACCTGGCAAGGGCTCTTTTAGTGGGTGATAGGACAGAAACGAGACCTCAACCAGGAGGTGCCATTTCTTGGAAACTCCCTCCTCCCCTGCTTCAGCTCTGCCACCTTCCCCAGCCAGCCTCTGCCCCTGAGGTGTAGCCATGCTTGTCTGCACCTTAGGGAGGACCCAGGGCCATGAAAAGAAGGGGCAGAATCTGGGAAGAAAAGTAAAGGCAGCCAGGAGCACGCCAGAGGAAGTGGGAAGAGAGGCAGGGTGTGTGAGACAGTGTAAGTGTGCCTGAGTGTGTGTGCGTGCACATGAATATGAGTATAATTGCGTGTGTGTGTGTGCACGTGAATATGAGTGTAACTGTGTGTGTGTACGTGAATATGAGTGTAACTGTGTGTGTGTACGTGAATATGAGTGTAACTGCTTGTGTGTGTGTGTGTGCACGCGCCCCAGGATAGGAGATGATGGGACTTACAGAGTCCAAGGGACTCTGGATGCCTGGGTTCTTATCCTGCCTGGAGCAGATCTCTCTGTGCCTCCGAGTGTGCCTTCTCAGTCATAAAATGTGCTGAATGGTGCCTTCGTGGGCTTTGGAGATGGGTTTGAATTCTGGCTCTACTACCTTCTCCCTGTGTGATCTTTCATAAGTATCTTAACTGTTAACACTCCAGCTTCCTCGTTAGTAAACATGAAACTAACATTGAGCTGGCAGACTTGTGTGAGGAAGACCAAGGGCCCAACACCCAGTTCACATGTAGGACCCCTGTGTTGGTGTCTGGTCATTATGACAAGTGCTCTAAGCTGCTTTCTCCTCCCTGCCTCCCACTCTCTCCCTCCCCCATTACTCACCTTCCTGCTTGGCTCCTGAGCTACGAGGACAGCACTGGATTCTGTCCTGCCTTAAACCAGGGCAAAGTAATTCATTTATGACAAAACATTCCAGTCCCATGAGGACTATTAAACCTTGGAACCCTGGAGGCAGGAGGGTGCTTCCTTAGAAATCTCTTAGGGAAAAAGGCACCACCCATTGATGCCTGCCCATGTCTGTGTTTATCTTCCTTTTATGGAGATTATTATTGAACACCTATTGCATGCCAGGCACTGATTCTAAACTAAGCCCCTTGCATGCAATACCTTCCCAATCCTCAAACAGAGTTCCCCCCTCTGAGAAATTATCCCCATTTCTCAGAGGGGGAAACTGAGACTCTATGAGACTGGTACTTGCCCCAAATCACATTTTAAGATAAAATTAAATCCAGTCTAGTCTAACATCATGGTCTTGACCCTTAACCTCTATGCTCTGTGTCTTTGTTTAGTGATGGCAGGATTTCTAACACCCTGGTTTGTTAACTAGCCCCCAGCTGAGATAAGGCCCTCACTTTTGGGCTCCAGATAGTCCAAGACCTCACTCTGAGCCTTGTTTTCCCCATCTGTAGAGTGGGAGCAGAAACATTTGCCATTCAGAACTGCTGTGAGAATTAAAAGAAGTAACACATGCAAAAGAACTTTGGGAGGTTTAAGCATTGTGTTATTGTTATTTGTTGGGCCTGTGCCAAATTGATAGGAAGTTCAGTGAATCATCAGGGTAAAGGTTTTACAAGAGAAGCAAGTGTGACCTTGGGCTCCATTTACTGTGGCCAGGATGAGGGAAACGGGCTGTTCTACTCAGTTCCTCTCTGCCATCTATAAGAGTGTTGTCCTCGAGGCTGGCCTTCTGACTGTTGGAAGGACTTGGCCATATTCACTGACCAGGAAGGGAGGAGCTGCGCCATCAGGGATCTGAAAAACCAGCTGTAGACGTGAACTGGACCATAGGGCAGGGGTGCAAACTTACTCATTCCAGGGGCCAGAGAGAGCAACTCAGAGTGGAGGGGGCCTGACTGCAGAGTGCCGACCTGTGCAAGGATGCAGCTGACTGTTGCCACGCAGGGTGGAATGTGGGTTTGCATTACCTGGGCTTCTGATTCCTCAAGAGAAGCTGAAACTTCTGATTGTCAAAACTAAGTTATCGAAACCAAGCACATGTGTTGGATGGATTAGGCCCATGGCTGCCACTTAGCAACCATGACACAGGAGACCAGGTGGGGTTTATTCGCTCATTCATTATTTTTAGCAAATGGCTCTGAGCTCTTTCTTGGAAATAAGGACCCTTGGTCTTCAGACCTTCCATGCTGGCTCCACTCCCTGCACTTTCTGACACCTCCCAAACCTGTCAGTCTGTCCTGACCTCACTCCCCACTCCCACAGCCCATCTGTTCCTGTCATTTCCTGCCTCATCCTACCCTTGGCCCTAAGCTGGCCCACTTCTGGGCCCCTCTGCACCTGTCCTAGGGCTCTTGAGGAACCCAGTGGGCCCTGCTCACTGCCTCTGCCCTACTCTATCCAGGCTATTTCACTTTTCCTCAGACTTCCCCAAAGCTGCTCTGTACCCTGCCTGTTTTTTATTTTATTATTTTTTCTTTTTAAAGGTATACTTTTATTGATTTCAGAGAGAAAGGAAGAGGGAGAGAAAGATAGAAACATCAATGATGACAGAGAATCATCGATTGGCTGCCTCCGGCATGGCCCACAGTGGGGATCAAGTCCACAACCCAGGCGGGGAACTGAACCATGACTCACTGGTTCATAGGTCCACACTCAACCACTGAGCCACGCTGGTTGGACTGCCTGTTTTTTAAATCAGCAAATGGCTTGGCCTCCAGCTTGAAAGAGAAAACCATCAGGTGGGCTTCTGTGCCTGGCTCCTTACCCACCTGTCCCTCTCACCACCAGAACACACCTACCTGTGTATCCACATTTCTCCCCCTCCACTCAGGCAGGGCCCCTCCTTCAATCCTGTCAGTCCCACCCCTCAGTCTATTGAGATACTTTACCCCGCCCTTTTTCTCTCTCCTTCATCTCCAGCCTCGCCCTCTCTCGATCTTAACATACCAAAGTCTCTCTACTTAAAACAGCACAACACAGGACAAGACATCCCTCCCTTCATCCCATGAGCCCCTTCATTTATCACATTCTCGCTCCCTTCCTTCTCAGGCAGGTTCACAAAGGGAGGTCTACACTGGAGCCCTTCAACTCTTCCTCGCTACCTACTCACCTCTCAGCCTCTAAGACCTGGCTTCTGTCCCCATGGCCTGATGATACAGTGCTCATCACATTATTAATGACCTCTTATTGTCACATCCAAAGGGAGGCCTTCTCGGCCTTCATGCACTTGACCCAAAGGTTGCACCGGACCATGTGGACCACACCCTTCTTGGGAACTCTGCTTCTCCCTGATGTCCAGGACACACTCTCTCTCCCGTTCTTCTTTCATTTCAACACCTGCTCCAGCGAGCGTTTCTAATGCCCTCCAGGCTCAGCCCTCAGATGCCTTCTCACTCTGCGTCCTCTCTCCTGCTTTCGTCCTCCCTGATGGCTTCAGAAGTAGTCCTCATGTCCACAGTTCTCCGGGTTATCTTTTTCAAAAACTCTAGAACTATCAAAGGGAAATAGAATATGAGCCATATATGTAATTTTAAATGTTTAAAAAAGGTAAAAAGTGACAAGTGAAACAAATTTTAATAATTAGATTTAATCCATAGAGCCAAAATATTACCAGTTCAACATGCAATCAATATACAACTATTTTTTTAAACATTTTTAAAAAAATATATTTTATTGATTTTTTACAGATCGGAAGGGAGAGAGATAGAGAGTTAGAAACATCGATCAGCTGCCTCCTGCACATCTCCTACTGGGGATATGCCCGCAACCAAGGTACATGCCCTTGACCGGAATCGAACCTGGGACCCTTCAGTCTGCAGGCCGACGCTCTATCCACTGAGCCAAACCGGTTTCGGCGATATACAACTATTAATAAGATTCTACATTCTCCTTTTCCTATTAAGTCTTTGATGAGTTTGTACTTTACACTTAAAGCAGCTCTCAGTTGGGACTAGCCACATTCCAAGCACATAATAGCCACCTGTGGCTGGTGGCCATCACATTGGATGATACAAATCCAGACTCTGATTTCCAGCAATCTGGACATCTAGAGGTTCCTCAGAGTCAACATGTCCAAAACACATGGACTTTTCAAAGGAGGTGCTGAGTGTGGCCTAAAGTAGACTATCCTTTTGTCAGGATCTAGGATCAGGTATTCCAAACAGAGGGAATAGCATATGGAAAAACACAGAGGCGTGCAGGGAGCAGTGTGGTTGTTTGGTTTGAGGCTGTCTGGCATAGGTGACTGCCTGGGATTCAAATTCTGGCTTACTACATGCAGACTGCGTACTTTGGCCAAGTCACTCAACTTCTCTAAGCCTTGGATTGTCCATCTGTCAAATGGGGAGATTAATAGTACCTAATGTTGCCGAAACCGGTTTGGCTCAGTGGATAGAGCGTCGGCCTGCGGACTGAAGGGTCCCGGGTTCGATTCCGGTCAAGGGCATGTACCTGGGTTGCGGGCACATCCCCAGTGGAAGATGTGCAGGAGGCAGCTGGTCGATGTTTTTCTCTCATCGATGTTTCTAGCTCTCTATCTCTCTCTCCCTTCCTCTCTGTAAAAAATCAATAAAATATATTTAAAAAAAAAAATAGTACCTAATGCATATGTTGGTGTAAGGGTTAAAGGAAGTGAGAGATGTAACGTTTACCAGTGCCTGGCACATAGCAAATTTTCAATAAGTGGTTATTATTACTTAGCGGTAATACTATTGCTGAATATAGAGAACACTGGAGCAGATATGAAACTGAGAGGCAGAAATTATAAAGAGTCTTGAATGGAGGCCTACTGAGCTTGGACTTTATCCTAGAAATGAAGGGGTGCCAGTGAATGTTTAAATGAGGGGCAGACACGATCAGACCTGTGTTAGAAAGGTCACTCTGGGTGCAAGGAGGAGGCTGAAAAAGATCTGGGAAGAATGTAAACAGAAGTGATTGGGTGTGGGGAAGGAGGGAGGGAAAGCTCTCATTTGTGACAACCAAGTTTCTGGTTTGGCCAACTGAAATGGGGAACATAGGATGAGGATCACATTTTCTGAGATGGTGAGCTTTCAACAGGGAGTCCAAGATGCCTGTGGAACACCCAGACTTCCAGCGGGTATCGGGAAACAGGGATCGGGCTCCCAGGTGCAGGTCTTGGGAATTTTAGTGCGGTAGGCATAGCTGGAGCCCATAGACCTGGTAAGAAGACTCAAGAAAAGTGACTGGGGCGAGACATGAAAGGGGCCAGGGATGAAGCCCTGGGATCATCTACGCTCATGAAGCAGATGAAGGAAAAGGATGTGGGAAGGAACTGTAGAGAGGGAGGGAGGGAGGAGGCACACCATGAGGGAGACATGTCATGGAGGCTGAGAGGAGGGACTTTCCAGGAGCAGAGTGGTTAAGAGAGTCAAAGTCAGCAGAGTCAAGTAAGACAATGTCTGAAGGGACCTTTGGGAAACCAGAGGGCCGGAGCCCTCTGAGAGCTGTAGTCTTGGTGAGATGTGGAAGCAGAAGCCAGATTGAGGAGGGAGAGCAAGGGAATAAAGGAGCCAGCCAGTGGGTTCTTTCCTGGAGCCTGACAGGAGGGGGAGAGGTGTCCACAGGTGGACAGGAAGGCTGGGCTGAGGTGGGAAGGATTACTTTTAGGAAGGAAGAGACATGAGTCTGTGGGAGCCAGTGAAGGGGAGGGTGGACGATACAGGCAAGAGGGAGGCCTCTGCAGAGGAAGGGAGAGGCTGGGTGCAGGCTTGAGAGCTGAAGAGATAGGCAGATATAGACTCAGATGGGTGGCCGTAGGAGGTGAGGGCCTAGCTTCAGGCCTCTATTCTCCCTGCAAAGGGGGTCCATGGGGGTGTCACAAAAGGAGATCCAGCAGGTAGGGATGGGTAGAGCTGGAAGTTCAGGATTACACATGAGGGCATGGAAATGTTGCTAAGGGTGCGAGTCAGAACCCCACTGGCTCCTAGGGCTGATGTGGGTGGGGGCCATGGCAGAGCCCAGGCATGAAGTTTGGAGATCCCTTGAGGAATCTTCCTTCAGGCTAGGCTTGAAGTGTGAGATGCTCTGAGGTTCAATCCACAGCAGCCAGGTCCGCCTCGAGGCCCTGCTATCCCCTGAACTTCAGGTGGGCTTGGGGTCTAGGGGTCTGGCTGTGTCCATAAGAGCCTCTGTCTCCACTATCCCACTTGGGCTCCTTTTACACTCCCACCCAGCTCTCACTGGTCAGGTCTTAGAGGGAGAGGTCATGAGGAGGGAAGTCTCCGGAGGAAGAGGGCAGGCAGAGGGTCTCCCAGGGCGATTTGGGGAGGCCCAGGGCACAAGGGTGAGGAGCCCGAACTGAGCTCTGAGCCCTCCTCTGAGGTTGGGGCTTCTGGGAAGGCAGTCCTCTCAGAGGCCCTCCCTCGCAGGTGTTTGGCCTTGGCTCCGTGGCCCATATGGTTCTAGGAGAAAATTTTGGGAGCTTCCTCGGTGTCAACTTGGGTTTTGGCTTCGGAGTCGCCATTGGAGTGCACGTGGCAGGGAAAGTCTCTGGTGAGTGAGCCTGGGCCCTGCCCGACTGTCAAGGCCAGGGATCCCCTGCAGGTTCTTCGGGCCCACCTCCAGCCACCCCCTTCTCCCAGCCATCCCCTTCTCCCAGCCATCCCCTTCTCCCAGCCATCCCCTTCTCCCAGCCATCCCCTTCTCCCAGCCATCCCCTTCTCCCAGCCTTCCCCTTCTCCCAGCCATCCCCTTCTCCCAGCCATCCCCTTCTCCCAGCCATCCCCTTCTCCCAGCCATCCCCTTCTCCCAGCCTTCCCCTTCTCCCAGCCATCCCCTTCTCCCAGCCTTCCCCTTCTCCCAGCCATCCCCTTCTCCCAGCCATCCCCTTCTCCCAGCCATCCCCTTCTCCCAGCCTTCCCCTTCTCCCAGCCATCCCCTTCTCCCAGCCAACGACTTCTTCTAGGCATTCAATTCTCCTAGCAGGGGTTTGTCCAGAGATTGGTTCGGCAGCAATGAGCGGCTCTAACAACTAATGTACAGGAGTAGAATTCGTTCCAGCATCCCAGGATTCCTCATAAGCATACTCGAAACCTCACTTAACCAGAGACAAACTCCTTCC